TCAATAGGATGAGGTGGAACAGCGGAACAGAAAACTAAGAGATGGGAATATAGAAAATGAGGGTAAGAGAAATTTGGAAGGGAAGAAGATGGTGTTGACAGGAGGAAAAACTGAGAATGGAGTCAAAGGGAGAGGACTAAGCAAAGGGCTTGAGTTGCCCAGCTGGAGAACTGGGGTATGGGCAGAGCAGCTGGTGAAAAGGAATAAGGGTTTATGGTTACCACTTGCTAGGTGGTACAGGTGGCTCTGGACTAAATCTGCCCCCACTCCCACCGTGAAGCCTTCTGAAGCAGTTAGAGACGGGATAGGTGGAATCAAGGAGAATACACCTCAAAACGGACAGGGACAGCCACTTTGGCAAATGCCCTGGAACATAGCCCACGGGCACTGGATGAGGCTGATCCCATTATTACTGAACAAGAAGAGAGAATGAAGGATGGAGCACTTTCTAAGTTTTATTTGATCTCAGCATGAGTTGTATAGAATTAACTTGGTCCAAGAGGCCATTTAAAGCCCAAATCTCCAAGGAAGTCTTTTGGGAAAATTTCCTCTTTCAACACCTAGTCCTATTCCATAAAGGAGGGCATTCATGTAAAGAGCTCAGTACAGAGCTTGGTACATGGGTGGACTCAGTCAATATCAACTTTCATTAAGCAGCTCTTAGCATAAAGACTCAGCATTCAGCATTGGTAGGCTCACAGTAAATATGGGTGGGGAATGAATGAATTCATTTATCTGAGGGTCCATATTAATTCATGTGTGCATGTAAAAAGGACATGGAGGTGGTGGCATGTGATCTCCTTTAATTTCACAAGGGGGGAGGAGGATCATGAAGATCAAGATGAACATCAACAGCCTGACATAACACATGGAAATGGAGTTTAAATTCCCTTCTTCAGATCTCCCCAGGGACCTAGAGCTGAGAGGATTACTAAAGGATGTGCTCCCCACTCAGGGAACTGCCCTACTATAGACCACTTTCTCTTTAAAACAGATCAGCTTTCCCCACATTCCACCAGCACTTCACCTTCTTTGATCTCCTCTGAAACAGAGATAATACTGTGTGTTCACTAAACACTGTCATTTTCTTCCTGGGCCAAAACTCCTTTGCCCAGCTCCCATTTCATCTACCTGGGGCCATGTGACTTTCTGGCCAATAGAGTGTTAGTGGGACTGAAGTGGCAGGAAGTGAGGGCCTCTGAGAAATGAAATCAAACCCCCAAATTATCTTGAGTCTTAATCATGGCTTGGAGGGTCCACAGTTGCCTGGAAATGCCTGACAAGAAATTTGGGGGTTTTGTCTGTTACCATAGGATAGCTTGGGCTCCCTAAAACACCCACCTTCTTTCTCAGTCCAGCCTGCACTACCATTCCAACCTCACCTCTGATCAGCTTCAACTTCCAATCTAACCATCCAGTCTTCCTTTTTGTAAGCAGCACCCTTCTCTTTCCCTCACTTTTTCTTGGTGGAATGGGAAGTTGGACAAATAGGGTCCCACACCCTTAGAATTTGTGCCCACAGAAGTTGCTATGTCTGCCTTAATCCTAGTTTTCTTGACTCATTAGGGCCCAGGGAAGCTAGAAATCATACTCATGCATGAACACCCACATGCATGAGTGGAATGAAAGGGCCTTTCTGGGAGAAGCAGTATGAAGGAAAGAAGTGACACTCTACACCACATATAGCTATATTCCTAGACTGCTAAGGAATAGGTATACCTCTTCAGACATCACATTGGTTCTACTGGTACTAGTTACTTAGAAACCTGAGACAAACCCCACCTTAGACAGCCCAAGCCACAGGCACCAATTGTTTCCCGTTTGTCCTATCTTTTCAAGGTAGCACTTGGTACATAATTTGAAAGGTCCAGTCCAAAATGAAAATGTGGGGCCCTTGTGCAAAAAGCAGGAAAAAGGTGCCATTAAAGGTACTAAAATATAAAGCTTTTTCCTTGTTTATGTAGTCTTTCTCTCCCTTACAATAGTCTTTTATTTGCCATTTAATGATTTCTAGTAAAGAAAAATTTGAATTATCATGAGTTTACCATTTATAGTTATATTGTGAAAAGCCAATTTTGAATATAAATATAAATATATTTAATTCATACATGGTGGAAGGATGATTGGGCAATCTACTTCCATAGTGATACTGCCTCAGAAACTCAAGGAAGGGTCGCTATGAGTCGGATCCAACTAAACGGCAGTGAGTCATTGAAATTGCTCAATTCATATTTCACAGCTTTGTACACACATATTTATTTTGTTCTTACAACTCAGTTGAAACATTCCACAAAACTAACTTGACTGTTCTTACTCTACTTGATGCACCCACATTCTACCACTTTTGATGGAAGCTAATAACTTTCAGAACACACTGACCTTGTACTTATTTGGAGTCTCATGGAACTTCCATTCAACATGGGTCCATTCTGTGCTCATGGGACATCATGAACACAGCATGTGAATGGAGTGATAAGAGAGAGCGATGAAAACTGTTGCACCATGCAACACATCACAAATATTTTCTCTGCTCATATGCATGCACTGTTATCCCAACGGACTTTACTTAGAAAACACAAGTTGAAAGACAAAATTATTAAGAATTTCAAGATGATGACAGCAGAGTATTAAACAAATACCATGAAATCAGGCCTACCTAAAGGGTACCTTGTATTCTATGTCAAAGCAACTCCCTTCTCTGAAGTTCCAGCACAGGGATCAAGCCTGATTCTCATGTACTTCACCATCCTCTCATTTGTTTCTATGCATTAACATTTGTTATTGTTGTTGTCAGATCCGACTCATAGGACTCATAGCGACCCCTCCTCGG